GGGTTTTCGTCGCTTGGCAACGACGTTGTCAAACAAGCCAATTCACTTCGTGAACTCGGCAACCAGGTTACCGTTTGTTTTTTTATCTCCGGGTTTTTTTTTGGCGGTAACCATAATGGTGGTCGAGTAGATTATGTTGTTCGGGGTGGAGAACACTCGCTCCGCGCAAGGTGGATGATCGCACCACGTTGTGTTAAAATGGTCAAGCACCCTCGAGGCAGTTACACAGTACTTACAACTGTCAGGAAGTGAAAGCACCAGAAATTAAATTTAGTCATACGCAGCTGTCATCCATACGCAAGGAAGTAAGCACAAGATGCCGAACACCCTTAGCAGGATGCAGCGCACCCTTCATGCGACTCGCCGAATATCTCACGGCGCTTCGCGCTTGGTGATGTGAGAGCCTGGTCCGGTGAGAACCCGGCGTGCTCCGTCCCGGCTTTGTAGGGATGCGAGGTCAATGGTCTAACGACTACGGCATGCACGACTATGAGTACCCCCCCCCCCCTCCCCTGGCGGAAATACAACTTCAGATACTTGCGTCAAACATGAATTATGTCTCCATATGTTTGGCCTCCCTCTTACAGGTTGGTCGCCCACCTGGATGCCACGACGGACGCTTTTACCGAGGCATACCTAGAGGACACGCACCGTCCGGACTGGGTGGTGACAAGCCCGCCTTACAAGAACGCGTTTTATATTTTGAAACAGGCGTTGCGGGTCGGGCGCGTGGGAGTGGCATTCAAGCTGAGACTGACTTTTCTCGAACCAGTATNATACAACTTCAGATACTTGCGTCAAACATGAATTATGTCTCCATATGTTTGGCCTCCCTCTTACAGGTTGGTCGCCCACCTGGATGCCACGACGGACGCTTTTACCGAGGCATACCTAGAGGACACGCACCGTCCGGACTGGGTGGTGACAAGCCCGCCTTACAAGAACGCGTTTTATATTTTGAAACAGGCGTTGCGGGTCGGGCGCGTGGGAGTGGCATTCAAGCTGAGACTGACTTTTCTCGAACCAGTATAAAGCAGAGGGCGTTGGCTAAAGGATAACCCTCCTGACAGGATTGTGATGCTCCCGCGAGCAACCTACCGCGGCAGGAGTAGTAGCTCAACGGAGGCGTGGTTTGTGTAGGAGGCAGTAAGGGAGCAGAAAGAGCACACCAAACCCGCATTGTGCTCTTCCTTGCCTGGCTAAGGTCTGTTGCACTAATATGAAAGTTGTGAGATGCGGACCTGGTGTATCGGAGGTTGCACCGTTTGCCTTTGTATTTCTGTGCGTTTGCGTACTGGTGCAGGATATGGACGAACCGCCGTCGAGGGCGTAATGTTGGAACCCCAACTATTGGTGATGAAGCAGATTACCGGCAGATGGATGGTACTGTTGGTCTTGGGCTGGTGTGTAACGGCGCAGGGCAGATGTTGCAATCCGTACTCACGCACACGTGAGGGTCATCCCAACTTGTGGGCGAGAGGTTGTTGTAGTTGTCGTCTTCACATTGTACTACCACTCCGGGCTCCGCTCAGTACTCTGCATCGGGCCAACTATCGCGGACGCTTACCGCGGCCACTATCCAACGTACCCCAAAAAGGGGTACACCATTTCTAGAAATGAAAGAACGGAAATAAAAATGGACCCAAAGATATAATTCTCCATCCAAATTCCAAAATTTCGATTCCAAATTTTGGAACGCCAGCAAGATTCATTTTAATCGTGACTCCTTGGAAAGGTTCCAAAAGAATACTCGCTCTTCATGAGACGCAGCTCCAGCAGCTCTCACTCCACGATTGCCTCCAACAGACACCACACCCCACAGAGGACAAACAAACATGGACAACAGCATGGAGACCACAACGACCCAGCGTGGTAGGCAAACTAAAACCCCGGCAAAATTCAGTCAAAACGGCTCGCTTGGGGCCGCCGTAGGCGGTGGACTTGCTGCCCAGCAGCCAGAAGCTTCTACCGGGAATCACAGGAGGCGCTGCCGCCACCAACATTCAGAGCGAGGGTGGAGCTGGCCGCCCCTGTAAGGTGGCGGCCACTGCTGTTCCTGCCTCCTCGGGAAACGGAAAGAAGACAAGAGCCCAGGAATTGGCGGCCGTGATGCAGGACCCTGCTTTTGCTGACGGCGACGATGAACAAGCGCGAGGCAGCGACGACAGCATCGATGTTGGGAGCGCCAGCGAGGATGACTCGTTCACCATCGATCCGGATGGCGACCTGGAGATGGGCAGGGGGAGCGGTGGCGGCAGCTCGATGGAAGGCGTTGGCGGCAGCTCGAGGGGAAGCGATATCGGGGGCTTCAGGGGAAGTGGCAGCGACGTCGTGTCGGCAGGGGCGCCGGGGTCGGCGAAG